AAGGCTATAGAATCTTAATTACATATGACCTTAATGTTTACACTAAGACATCATAGCTTAACTGTAAGGACCCTTTCTATATTAATGTGGTCCTTTGTACGAACGAGGAGGTAATTTATGATTAAGATTTAGTTGGTAAAAATTTTAAGTTTTAAAATAATTTCATTTGGGAAATGTACCACTACCTACAGGTGGTTCCGGAAGAGTTTCTCCTTCGGTGATCATCATTGGTCTTCCATCTTTGCCAGAGTTCCATGTTATTGTACAGTCCTTCTTGAAGTGTCCAATTTCTCCACACCCGTAACAAGCCTGGCTTACTCCAATGTCGGGGACCTGGGAGATTGGTTGTGTTAGTGACCTGCATAAATGGGCAATGTGCCCCTTCTTATTGTAATTTCTACAGTGAATTACTCAGAAAACCCATGTATGATGGAAGTTGCACTTGGTAGACTTTGGAAGCTTTCTAGAATATCGATTGGGGGGGGGGTGTTGGAGTGGCAGATGTTGTGGATGTAGGGACTGCCACAAGTTGTGGTCTCTTGGGAGGACCTTGAGTCGAACTGCTCCTTTTCTTGTTCCTGAATTTTTGTTTCTTGTTCATAGGTTTGTGGTCTGAGGTGTCCTTGTCAGCAGACACTAGTCGATTCCCTTGGTTGCTAATGTGGTTAGCATTGTCGATACAGTTTATGTACCCACTTGTGTTGTCACTTGTTAGATTTGAGTTGTGCCATGACGGCTATCACGACGGCTGTGACTGTAGCTTGAAAAGTATCGGAGTCTATCTGCATAATTGGTGTTTTGCAGGTTGGCTGGTTACTTCCTTGTGAAGGCATGATTCTGTTGCATGATGAGAAACGAGCTTGTTAGCAACTATGGTCGTTTCTAGTCATATTCCATCTATTTATATATATATATATATATATATATATATATATATATATATATATATATATATATATATAATTTTTTGTTTTGTTGAACTCTTCTCAATGTTCGATTAAGGAAAAAGGAAAGCTCTCTTTATGGGAATCTCTGAAGCGAAAAATCCGAGAGAGGTATGTGCCAATGACCTTGAAGAATGTTAATGTGAACAAAAGGGTAGAGACATTGATAAAGGTTGTTGTGATTGAATATGGAATAGAAGAGTATGAAGCCTTGGCTGTGGTACTTGAAACTTCAAAAACCATTAATGACCAAGCTGATGTTGCTGATGTCAAGGTGGAAGAGGTTAATCGTTGTTGAAGACAAAATTGTTGAAGTGATTATTGAAGAAAATAATTTCATGATTAGAGACAAGAAAGTTGATGCAATAGAGTTATTCATTGAAGAAGTTGAGGAAGGAGATAACTCCAAGGTCGAAATTGTTGAAATTGTGGAGGCAATCATGGAGGAAAACAATTTTGTTGATGCGAACAACATTATTGAGAAGGAGGTGATTTTGAAGGAAAAACCAAAGGAATTCTAAGAGTCCATGTCATCTATATAGCATTGTTTTCAATAGGTGACAAACAAGTCCAGAAGCATCCTACTATGTTGACGAGTGAAATCAAGGTGGAGTAGGTTGACTGCAAAGATGGGTTGTAGTGCAAGAGGATGCGAAAGTGACGGTGGTTTTTCATCAAGAAGACCCAAATGATGATTTAGCTATGGTGTGTCAAGATGTAATTCCAATAGGTCGACCATCCGAGGAAATGATTGGTGATGTTTTTGTGAGCCCTTATGTTATTGTTGTTGTTTGTCGTTGTACACTTTTACTTTTGATAAAATGTTTTGTGTGATTGAATATGGTTAAGTTTTGTTCCTGATTCAAAGACTACAAGGCCAAATATTATTGGATGATGGAATAATGTTGTACCCTCCAGAACACGATATGCGGGAGGTTTCATAAGGAAATATTCTTGGAGGTTGAGATCAAACATGAAATGTTTCTTCACATGGTGATTCTAAATTTTATTTTGGCTAAAAACAATCAATGTTGTTATTGGGTCTTCATTTGTTATTCAAGAACATCAGGAAATATGGAGTAAAGTTGGTGATGAAAGAACGAAGAAGGATGGTGTCCATTCTATTACAAACCATCTTTCAGATAGAAAAAAAGGACTAAATCAATATGAAGAGTCAAGTCCCAAGTATTCACATGGAAAGGGGTTTGTAGTATTTGGATTCTTGTTTTTTTTTTTGGTGTACCTTAAGTTGGGAAGCCTTAATGTTGGGACGTGTTATTCATCAACCCACGATTACAAACCATGATCAATTCTTTCACAAGATTGCTATTAACCATTTAAATTTGCAAGGTCTGAATCTTGATCATGGGAAGGTAAGAAAATGGTTTTTGATCCACCGATAAAAGAAACCGTGGAAGTTATATTCAACAAGTTCTTCAAGTTTTTCAAAGAAGACTGTGTGTAGGTGGAGGCAAGACAAATTGGTGAAGAATAAAATATGTCATCATTCTGGTTCATTACAAGGAGAAAGATCACTGCCGTCGGAAGGTGATAGAAATCATTGTGAATAGTCACATAGTTGCAAACAAAAGTGTAACATCATTACGAATGGAACTGTGACTTCATTGCAATCAGGAAGGAGGCAATATCGTTGCAATTGGCCACGTCGTTGCAATTGGAACATTTACATTGTTGCGATTGAAACAATCACATCATTACGAATGAAATAAAGTCGTTATCGTTGCGAACGGTTTGTGAGGATGGTGTGGGGAATGTACAAGAAACATGTAATAATTGCTACTATGTTGATATGGCTAAATATCTTCTATATTTTCAAGTTAATGATTGTATACCTTGATGACATATTGGTGTATCCCTAAAGCAGGGAAGAATATTTGGTGAATCTTAAACATGTATTTTAAGTTACTAAATCCTAAAGATTCTGTGGGAAGTTGGAAAAGATTTCAGTCCTTGTTGTTTCAAAAGGGGAAGGAAATTTGAAGGGAAAGGTTCACAAAGCAAGGAATTCAATAAGAAACAAACAAGAGTTCAGTGCTCCTATGAAAACTAAGAACTACTATGGTGATGCTGGTGATTTTGATGATCTTGGAGAATGTGCTAAAGGTTCCAAAGAAGAGTTTTTGTTGCGAAATGGTTTTCTCTTCCGTGGGACACAGATTTTTGGTCCAAGTTTTCCGATTCATGAATGGTTAGTTCGAGAAGCCCATAATGATGGATTGGTTGGTTGTTTTGGGATGGAAAAGTTTCGGATGTGTTGAAAGAGAATTTCCTTTGGACTAAAATATTTTTAAAGGTGAAGTATTTGGATAAGGATTACAAGGTGAATGTTTCAGCCCGTGACTCTAAATTTTTGGGGTTAGTTCTGGAATACCTTGTGGAGGAAGTTTGGTTTCTTTTCATCTTATCCTGATGATAATGGCCTTCCGGAATCAAGGTCATTTCCTTTTGAAGAGGGTGTGTTTGATGCGAATTTGGATACCTATTCTCCAAAGGCTAAATCTAATCTGAACTCAAATGGGTCCGAAAGTCAATTATGATGGAAAGTAAAGCTTTTACTTCCTAAGTTGGAACAAGAGAATGGATGATGAGGCGTTATGATCAGTTCCGAACTGTAAGATCTCATTTGAATCATAATGGTCTGTTTCTGTGGAATTGGATGAGACATTGCGAATGGGTATAAATAATCAGATGGTCGTTTGGACTAGCACATTGCGAATGAGATGGTTGCGACCCATTATGATTGTTTGCGAATGATCGTAGTCTTTTGCATTCATTTGATGGTCATTTCAATGCGATTCACATTAGTTGATGGATTGTTATGAAGAGAAGTCTAGTCGTGAGGATGGGACATGTGGATAAGAATGATGTCTTGGTTGCGTATTGCTTTAGGACTCGATGCTACTTTACACGTGGCATTTTTCTGGATGCCTTGGAGGTGAAATGTCACCTTTTCCATTTTTCAAGACAACTATGTCTAAGGATGTTACTTTCCAATACTTTATGTTACTCTAAAGTTTTTATTATTCTTTTAATTAATCTTTTAATAAGCTATTAATTGGCATAGTCATTAGTATCTTTAAGTTATTACTACCGTTATATTTTGTAGGATATATAAAGTCATCATCTTTCTGTTGTAAGTCATGCTATGTCATTGGTTGAATATATGAAATTGATCTTTATTGGGACACGTCTCCTGATTTTGATTCTGAACTCAAATTAATAGGTCTTCAGTTGTTTTCACCAAAATTTCAAGCTATAGGTCTAGTTTGATCTTCATACTATTTAATACTTTGTTCTTTTTGTTATTTCACTTCATTTTCAAGGGTCATTTGGTATCATAAGTGGTATTAGAGAGCTGAGTTATAAACATACGTTGTGACGAGATTGATACACGTATAAAAAATATTAGTATATTGGAAACGTTTAATCACGCTAGCCTTGGTGACTATAATACCATTGATCAACATGTATGAGATACGAGAATAAAATGTAAAGCCCTTATTTGGGGGTAGTATATACACTTATATCCCTCTATGGATGATTGATTGTAATCCCTTATATTGATATTTATTACATATGGATTTTAGTTAGATATTTAGAGTAAACCCTTTTTATGGCATTTTCGTTTGAATGTATTTAAGGAATGAATGTGGTGATAGAGTTGGAAGTTGATCTTATTATGCTATTTTTAAGACTAACTAGCCGGTGCACCCCGTTCCGCAGGGTTCGGTTTTGATCCTCATTTTATTTCTGTCTTTTTCGGTATATGTTTTAAAGGATAGTTTTATTATGTAATATATATATATATATATATATATATATATATATATATATATATATATATATATATATATATATATATATATGAGTGGTAAATTTAGTTGATAAAACTATAAAAAGAATGGGGTCAAGTGGAATGATTAGGGTGCGGTAATTGTAGCCGACTTGGGTAGGTAAAGAGGTTAAAGTTGGTACTGGAAACGTAATCTACGTCAGTGGTATTGATGACCGCATTAAGTGAGGAAGGAAATCGTCATGCAGGGCAATCTGGGTTTTATAAGATCCGTAAAGGGATTACCCTTTATTCCAGATATCTCTTTTTTGTACACATTGTTTTTGAATGTCAGCCGTAGAAAGCGACCACCAAGAAAGATGAAGCCGCAGGAAATGGAAAAGATTATCAAAGTTCTGATCAAGCAGGAAGAAGATGAGGCAACTGCATTGGAAAATGTTGAAAACGATTTCTATCTGAACTACCAAAAAAAACCTCACATACAGGCAAGTATGAGCCGGAGACCTAGGTATCTTAACTATGTGCTTATGGATAAGCTAGTCGTTGATAACACATATGAAGCATCGAAAGCTATCCAAACCATCTATAAGCTGAAGAGGGAAGCAGAGATGAGAATGGAGGAACTGAAGAAGGAGGTGAAGAAACTACTAGAAGATGATCGAGCTTATGTCGATTAAGGTGATAGTTGTATGGAGGTAGTTGTTATGCTTTTTTGTTTTAGAAGGTGAATGGTCTTTTGGGGTTGTAAATAGGTATGGTGGTATGGTGTCTGTTTTAGAATGTGAATGGTCTTTTCGTGATATGTAATGTAATGTTTTTATGTTTTAAGTAATGGAACTGATAATTAGTACTTTACATGTATGTGTGGAATGTGTTTTGTTTTGGTGTTTATCTATTTTTTGTATTTATTTAATTTAGTATCAAAGATCGGATAATGGTGATTGTGTTGTACGTTTTTTGTTGTAGTTTCATTTAGAGTAATGTTAGAAAGTGGGTTGAATGGAGTTTGGACTGTGGAGAAGAAATAGTTAGCTTCCAATATTGACATGATTTAAGTGTAGGTGTGTAACCTGGGTCCCCCTGTATGCTTCATTAATATTATGTACTTTTTGTAAATATTAGCATCTTTTGGTTATGAGTTCAAGTTTTTATTCTTGATAAGGAAACAGACGGGTAAAGTTGGTATTATTTCGGAAAAAGTGGTTGTATGTGCATTTTGTGTAAAAGAAATATATTCTATCAAATCTAACAATGCAACATAGATTGTAATTTAAAGAACAGCAGAAGAAAATGTTTTCTCTTTCTGAGGGTGTGGATGCGTTGGAATAGTTAAATATTTATAGAACTTCTTTGTACATATTGGTCATAGATTTATAGGAACTGGTTATTTTAGTTGGGTCCACAATTAGGGTCCTATTAGACTGGTTTCTATCTATTCACCAAAGCTACGTAGTTAAGACATTGGTACAAAGTCTTATGTTGTTTACATAAAAAAGCACTAAAAGTGTTTGTGGAACATCTGATACTAACTACTAACAGATGGGAGACATTCATCAGAAACAAAATAAGAGATGATGGGATCTATTTTTTGCGGCTTCACTTTGTATCCGTTGATGGTGTTGGGTTATCTGCACGCAACAGAGAGGATGTGTTAGAAAACATAAAGGTATAATAGGTAATAATTTGATTTATGTGTATACCAGTGGTGTTGTATGATAGAGTACGTACGCTGCATGTGACAGGCATTGTAAAATCAGGTGTGCTTTCTTGCATTGTTAACCTTGTCGTGGGAACCTGTGTTGGAGTTGTTAACCTTGTCGTGGGGACCTGTGTTGGAGTTGTAGAATTTGTGCTTTCAATGTCTACAATTATGAAACATAAATTGTCCCCAACAGATGCCTTTAGGATTTGAATTGACATGTTTTTTGTTTACCCTTTCTGCTCAGTAAGAAAAGCTGGAAGTGTTTTCCTGTTGACGGTGTTGTTGTTTGCTATAAGATATTGAAGGGTAGACTTGAGCAGTTTCTGACATGAGGTGTCAGAAATGATTGTTGATATTGTTTCCGTTGTGTCACTTACTATTAGCCTGAATTTATGTATGTTCTTAAAATAAATTTGTTAGCTTATAGTATACAGGATAAACAGTTGCAATGTAGATCGAAGTGTACTTACGAAAATGTTGGGTTTTCAATGAGAGAATGTGCACTACAGTACTATTGTGGGCTACATTTATGAATGGGATCTCTACAAGTGGGACATAGAACCTGATACCAATTATCTTGAAACTGAATATCCATGATTGATGCTTTGATAAAAAAAAGTTTTATCTTGTAAACAAATGGTTGTACTGTCAGGGTATTGATTCTTATCTATATTTTTTAATGAAATTAGATAAGAAGATATCATGTAACATGACCAATAAGTTTGATCATTTTCTTGTTTTCATATCATGTAATGTAATTGGTATTCCAGACAGAATAGAAATTGGTCTTTGTGGTCCATGGAAACTGAAACCAGAGATTCATTTTGTTAACAATATTTTTATTGAACAAATATGATGTTTATAGATGAGAAATTTGTTGTACATATCAAGAAGTGTTGTTGTTTCTAGTATTTCTGGATTTATGTATACATGGGTGGCAGGGGATGATCCATGGCGTAATGTTCCTAGGATTAAAAAGAGGATTATATTCACTAATAACAATTATTATGGTATTGCAGTTATTTTTTTGCTAACTTTCAGATTGGAAGTGCCATACCCGCAGAAGTGGAAGCCTTTAGGTTTGTAACAACAACTGTAATGGTAGGCAACAGGATGAGTAGATCGCGGTTGAATTTTGTTGGGACTGTGATGCATTCATTCCATAGGTTTATTGGAAGTGCGTTGCCACTAGACGTTTATTGTATCATGTTATTAGCTAATGGAAGTGTAATCTGTACTTAATATATATTCCATGATATTGCAGTTACCTCTTGTCTATTGGCATTAGGAAAACATATGGCTCATGATTTGCTTTTCTGCAGTCTTTGATTTTTGATAGAACACCAATAAAATCAAAAAAAAAATCAATGTTATTACGTGATTAATGTATCTAATATAGAATGAAGGATATATCTATATACCTGGATAATAGGGTTGTTTTTCTCCAAGTTCCATGAGATGCGATTTTGTTACAAACCGGAACCAGTGTTTTGGTATTGTCATTGTATCTAGAAGTGATTTGATTATTGAAATGAGACCAACCTCGATGTAGAAATCATTATCTAATACCTTCTGATGCCTATCAAGTTCTGGACAGCTGTATTCGGAGATCGTGTAGTAATCGAATAATTTGAATACTGATTCAATATAAGCCTAACTAGTACGTTGTCTAAGAATCTGGATTGCATCTCCCTATAGAATTTATTAAGTATTAAAGTATAACCATAATAATTTTTTATTGTATATTTATGTTTTCTGTATATATATTTTGTACACTTACAAATCTATCAACACCTAAGTACCATGTCTGGTATCGACGGACATCGTTCTTCCATTTGCGGATGATTCTCATTTGTAAAGGAGCTCCAACACCTTCGCACTTCAGATCGGATATACAAGTCATGGCTACTATGCCTTCACTATTAGGTAAACATACATTAATCGAGGTAAAAGTGTTAGCTGTTACATATAGCATGCATTAAGACTTGTTTGGAAAATAATCACAACTATGTAACCAATAGTGATATGAAAGTTAAATTTTAAGGTATTTTGGGTATTTTGGACTTGTTTGTGTAATACATTGCATAACAGATCTTTGTACACAATGTTTTTTGTTTCTGTGGGTATGAAATGGTCATTTTTTTCTATAATAATTTTTATGGATGCGGGTGATGTTGCTTTGGAGAAAGCTACATACAACTGTCCATGTGCAAATATTGGTTGAGACAGATAAACACCAATTTATTTTAATGACTGTCCCTGGATTTTATTGATTGTTATTGCATAACAGATCTTGACTGGAAACTGTTTTCTTGAAAAACTAAATGGCAAATCAGATGGCATGTCTATGAATTTTATGCACGGAATGTATACACGTCTTCCGATATAAGCTCCTTTCATTATGGTAGCTTCGATTATAGTTGGGAGAAGCTGTGAAACAATCAATCAAGTAGTATTACATAATCCTTCCTTTTGATTCATGTTTCTTAATAACATAATCGATGTTCCTTGTTTCAAGTGAAGTACATGAGGTGGGATTCCTAGAAATACTTATTCAATGAGGTACTCTGTAGGATATAGTCCTTCTAGATCAGCTGTGTGTTTTCCATTTGGCTGCATTGAATCTGCGTTGTTATATACTACATCGGAACCTGTGATAGTTTCTAGGATCATGTTGTTTATCGTATCTGCCACTTCATTTGTTGGACAAACAATTTCCCTTTCTAAAAGATCTTTTGCGGTTGGGTTGTGTAACAACCCGAAGTTGTTCATCGCCGAAAACCCATTCTACCCGTAAAACTCGTCGGAGATCGAAATGTCCTAATATTGTTGTTGGGTTTAGTTAACTAAAATTAAATGTTTATTATCATTCATTGAGGGTCCAAACCATTTAGAAACTCATGAATTTAGCCCAAAACATTTATTTCATAAGTTTTAGAAATATCCTCGCCGGGTGACGGAAACTCAATCGGGTGCGACCAAAAGCCGCGTTTAACGTCGGTATCGGGTAGAATTCCACCGTGTCCAAGTTTTAGGAACTATATAAACGTGTTTTAGCTTTCATTTGAAGCTTTTCCTTCTCTCACTACTCTCTCTCTAACCTCTCTCCAAAATCCAAAGATTAAGGGTCCAAAACTCAATTTTAAGGCTTCAAATCCTTAAGGTACCTTCCTAGCCTTAATCTATAGCATATTTGGCTTCCAAATTCAACATTTAATCATGAAATGGAACAACATATTGGAGTTTACGGCCCAAGAAGCAACCTAGGCCGTAAACACCATTTTGAAGGGTTTTTAGCCCTTAAACTCCTTCCTAAGCTCATTTGGACTTTAGAGATGGCCAAGGGACTTCAAGATATGGACTTTAAACAATTAAAACATGAATTTTGTGATGTTTAAAGGAGTTTACGGCCAAGGATCATTCTTGGGCCGTAACTCATATAATTAGGGTTTTCATACCCTTAAACCCTTCCAAATCACTTATATGGCTTAGTTATGGATTATAGAACCTTGGTAATTGCATTTAGACACTTGAAACATCATTTTTGGGGGACAAATAAGAGTTTACGGCCAATGTATGTGCTTGGGCCGTAAACTCCTCTAAAAGGGGGATTAAGTGCCCTAAAACATGTCCAAATCCCCTGAAACTCAACCAATGACCTTGTGGTAAATCCAAGAATCATCTAAAAATAGTTTGGAGGCCTTAAACACATCAAACACACTACATATTGGAGTTTACGGCCTAAGCACATAGCCTTTGGCCGTAAACTCATAAACACATGTCAAAATGGCCTTAAACCACCCCTAAAGCCTTGGAATGAATTATAGAAGTCCTTCTATGCAAGTTTTAGACCTTGAAATACCTTGTAGCACTATATAGAAGAGTTTACGGCCATGAGGGGGTCTCATGGGCCGTAAACTCCATAAACCCCTCAAATGTCCCATGCAAACTCATGATAGGCCTTGGAATAATTCTATTAATCACATATGATTTGTTCTAGCACCATTTAACATCATTTTCTTGGAAAAATAGGGGTTTACGGCCATGGAGCCATGCTAGGCCTTAAACTCCCATAAATGGGTCTATTTGATGTTTTAAAATCATTTCAAGTCCTTAAACCAAATTTAGAAAGTGTCCCCTAAGTGTTGGAAGTCCAATTTGCACCATAAACCACCATCATGAGTTTACGGCCGTAAACTCATGGGGATGGGTGTTTTGGCCATAAACTCCCATAAGGGGGTGTTCCTTTGAAGTCCCAACTCATTTCCCAAGTCCCTCGCATCATTCATGTCCCTAAACGCCACCCGGGTCCCTCCATACACTTGTATCAGAGTGTTATCGCGACTTGAAGCAAGTGTCCCTATCCAACAATCAATCTAAGTCCTAATTAGATACAAATGTGTATCTTTACATCATAATTAGGAACCTCGTATGTTTACAAGTCCCGGATCAACTCTTAGCAACCAAACCGTCTCATATCTCGTCCGGTGAGTTCATACCCCTACGGCTTTTTCACTGTTTTCAATGTTTTCAGGGGGGAATACAAGCAAACTATAACTGTTTTCAAATCATAACATTGACATGTTTCAAACTATATCTGACAACCTTGTAAACTCTTTTACTCCTTATGTATTTTGCTGAGCATAAGGAATGACTATTCAATTACAACTAAATGGATTTTAGTTAAGGAAACAATCAAACTAATCAAATTATTATGGGAATAATTTGGGGATCTTTACTGTTCTTTCTATCATATGTTGATATCCATATAAAGTTATTAGATAAACTATGTCTTATTCAGTTTATCTCCGTATCATTTGAATGTATTGTCAGATAATTTCATGTATGTATCTATACTTTACTGTACTATGTTTCATAATCTTCTGTATATCGATATCTTACAAGAATCCTGTAAATAGTTTAGTACTAGTTTGTGAGATAGTCACTACCCTTTATGGATGATCAGTAAATCCTCACCGGAAGTGTAACCAGAGTCTCCTGGAGGGAGAGCGCGGAATTTGTGAATAGATCTATTCGGGACTGACAATCCCACACCTTAACTGCTAGCTACAGTTAGGCGGGCACGCCTGGGGTGACAAATTTCTGGATATCGTTTCGACGTCTGACAAACGTCAAGGAGGTCACATTGTCGTATTAGTATGGTTACCCGACTCACAATATGTATTAATATTAGCTTATTCACAGTTTGGGTTCAGAAAACTATACCTCGTTCGGGATAGTGATCCCATGGTTTTGCATCTATATTTTATATCTCTTTCGGGATTGTGATCCCATGGTGTTGTTTCTAGATCTCTTTCGGGATAGTGATCCCATGGTATTATCAAACTATTTTATATCTATGTCCTATACGGGATAGTGATCCCATGGTTTTCTAAATCTATATCTTATACGGGATAATGATCCCAAGGTTTTGTATCTATATCATATACGGGATAGTGATCCCATGGTTTTCCAAATCTGTATCTTATTCGGGATAGTGATCCCATGGTTTCAATCTATATTTACATATATACATCAACTTATCTCGTGTTTAGTCCGGGATGATAGTCCCATGATCTTAAACCTGTACTTTCAGATGTGTCAAACTATCTTATATGTCTTTCGGGATAGTAATCCCAAGATTTTCATTATATAGTTTTGTGTGTTAAACTATACTTTGTGATATACAACCGATCTTACAATTAGGAAAATATGGGATTTTCCTGGGGTAAAATACATTACATAATCGAATTGGTAACAAATGATAACTTAACCAACTTCACATAAGAAAATATGGGATTTTCTTGGATAACAAGTATTTTCGGAAACTAAAGGAGATCGATACATTTTCATAAAACAAAACCACTTATGAACTCACCAGCTTTATGCTGATTTTCAAACTGCTTGTATTCTCAGGTCCAAGTTAGACAGGTACCCGGTGATCTCCTTTTGGTGAAGACGGAGTGCGTAGAAGACTCGTCTCAACTTTTGTTAATATGATGCATATGTATATCTTGTATAACTTTACTTTTGGAAACAAATGTAAACTTTCATATATATGTAATGTAATGTTTGTTTACTATGATTACTATGTACATTGGATTTGATACACAACGTGGTAGTCCACCCCGGAGATGTTTCCGCCTTTGATTTTCGGGGTGTGACAGGTTGGTCAGTATAGAATCTCCATACACAAATTGTATAAGATCTTGTAACGCATTTGGTCCAGGTGGGATCAATAGTGAATCTGGGATTTGAACCCAAGACGTGTTGTCCGGATCATTTGTATCAGGACATCAAACCAAACCATCTCCAAAGTTGAGAAGCCATGTGGAAAAATCTGTTGTTGATAGTGTATGTGTCTCGACATCTGTATTTGAAAGCAAACACATATTTTCCGTGAGCATTCTATCTTGAAAAAGAGGCCAAAGATATGATTTTGGTAGTGTAAGTGCTATTGTGTCAGAATGTGTGCTTTTTGGGACAACAGGAAGTGTTTGTCGAAAGTCACCACGAAGGAGGGTAGAAATACCACTGAATGGTTTCTCCTTACATTCTAAAACATCTCGTATCGACCTATCCAGAAATTCAAAACATTTTTCTATCACTCATTGGTGCTTCATCCCATACAATAAGTGATGTATGACACATGATATCGCCTAGCATTGTTCTCTTTTTTATATCACAAGATTTTTTGTTAGTGAGATCTATTGGAATCTTAAATCTTGAATGTGCGGTTGTTCTAGATGGAAGTAGTAATGATGCGATTCCAGATGCATCGACAGCCATAACCACTTTCCCAATTGATCTAAAATAAGAAAGAATCGTACTCCATAGAAAAGTTTTTCCTGTACCCCCGTGACCATAGACAAACATCAAAACTTGTTTCTTATCTTCAATGGA